TCAGCTGCTGAAGGTCTCCTTGTAGTGCCAATTAGATGTTACCTGACTACCATCACATGTGATGAGGCTCAGATAATCCTTCGAATAAAAGACTCATCCCTACAACGGTTAGACTCAAACGAGAGCTGCACAATAGGGCCAAATCTAGCACTCTGAGATTATTCAACCCTGATCACATGTGACGTGATGTATTCACCTAATAGCTAACTCTTATTACTCAGAGTCCCACAAAGCACAAAACAAGTGGCATTCGGACGCAAGAAAACTATTCAATCTAATTTGTTCTTATAATGAGAAGCTGAACTAGCATATAATGCTGAGTTAATACTACCAGACATAACCTAAACAGGCTATCCTATTACTGTCTACTCAATACTAGCATGTAATTTTCATAATCTGAAGCACATAAAGCAGGCACATAAGGCATAATCCCTAGATCCTTAGTCCTATTCTAGCATGTTGTTCTACTGCAACTAATAAACATAAGATAACTTGTATGGGTACTATGGGGAATACTTACTTGAGCTCGGCCGGTTGCGCACATCACATACTTGTTTCTTCTCAAAACTCTTTTATCCTAGCTTTCAGAAAGTTATTTTCTTTGTAAAAATCTTTTAATCCCTTGGTTTGAGTCCAAGGTACCCCCCCCCCCCCCCCGAAGGTGTGTTCGAATCCCTCAAACCAGGGCTCTGATACCAACTTCTAACAACCCAAATTCCAAGTCCAAAAATTTCATTATTAGTAAATTGATTTATAAAAAAACGTTTATAAGAAAACACCAGCTAATAGTAACTTTTCATAAATCTACAACTCATGTCTGAAAACCACTCGCAAATAAAACAATGTCAGAGTACAATCCCAAGAAACTCTAATGCGGAAAACCAACATGTGCGTGTATGATGTACCGCTACCGTGTCAACTCCTTCTCCTTCGCTGAAGAGGTACCTGAAACAAAAACTGTAAACTGTAAGCACGAAGCTTAGTGAGTTGCCCCATCGTACGATATATCAAACAATCACATAACATACATACTGTCGGGCAATTCTGGGGTGCCCGAATTACCTGGTACGACCATTCTGGGGTGCCAACCTACTTGTGTCAAGCCATTCTGGGGTGCTGACCTACCCGTGTCAAGCCATTCAGGGGTGCTGACCTACCGTCGGTCCTAACAACTGACCCTCGGGGACTATCCCCTCCTACCACCGCTATTTCACATAGCATATCATGCCAGCATATAAACATATGATCACATACTGTCAGACATATTTGGGGTGCTTGACCTACCCTGCAGTCCTAACAACCGAACTCTACTACTATCACATATAACATATCATGCCAGCATATAACATATTAGGTAGTAGCAAACCTAGATGATATCACAAAGACGATCATCTGACATACAACTCCTACTGGTGGGTCGTCGTTGTGGCCGTAGACCCACCGCTACTAGAAAGTAACTCACCTCGATCAAGTAGCTGCTGCCAAACTGAGTGGGAAGTCTCTTCCTGCTGTTGCCCTGGAAATCCTTCGGCTACAATCCCCACAAAACACTCAGTCAGAACTGATATATACTCTTAGGGTAAAATGACTATTTTACCCCCAAACAGGTCCAAGTCAAAGTCAACTTCAAGCTGACTCGACTCGCCGAGTTGGTCCTCCAACTCGCTAAGTCCTTCATCCTTTACTCGTCCTTAACCACGTCCTGACTCGTTGAGTTTGGCTTCATCTCCACGAGTTCCTCTCTTATATGAACATTGCATGAAACTCATCCGACTCGCCGATTTGTATGAACAACTCGTCGAGTTCATCTTCAATCTTAAGGAGATTGTCTTGGACTCGTCGAGTCTGTTCTAGCACTCATCGAGTCCCATGAACTCCAGGTCTAAAACCAATTCCAATGCGTTGGGTCACTCTTTCTGACCTACTACAGTCCCTCTAGCACCCAACTAAGTTCTTTTAGACTCTTATCAGATATGGGACTTTATGCCTTGGACTCGTCGAGTCCACAAACGGACTCGCTGAGTCCAGTCTTGACCAATTCCATACAGTCGATCTAAATGAGATCTAAGACACCAAAACCATAGATTTGGCCTCCTAATGTCCACGTTATACATAAAGTTCCAAACTTGATGCACATGCATGGGGTTTTTAGCTCAAAAATCCACATAACGTGTCCTACAATGTGCATGGGGCTCTCATGGCCCTAAAGTTGGCACCTTTATGCCATGAGACCCCTCTTAAGGTCCAAATCTGAAGTCAAAACCGACTCAACACTTCCAATTCCAAAACGTGACTTAGCAATCCAAAGAGATCCCAAGTTAAAGATGAATAAACACATAGATGAGTCAAGACAGGAGCATTATACCTTGAAGCTGCTGAAAATGAAGTAAAATCCTTGGATCTACTGGTCTCAAGTCAAGTTACAAGCTCCTTCCTTCTTTCTAAGCTTTACAACCACAAAAGAACACCAAAAATTGCCTCAACAAAGCATAATCGGCTAGGGTTTCAATGAGAAGTGTTTTGGGAGCATAGGGGACAATATGACCGTCATATCATTGCTTAAATAGGATGCAAACCCTCAGATTAGGATTTTGTCCGAACAGTACCTACTCGCCGAGTACGGCACCCGACTCACTGAGTTCATCACTTAAGTGCCGCGTTCTGTCCCACTTCTACTCGACGAGTTGGTCCTTCAACTCGCTGAGTCCAAGGCCAAATGCGAAAAAAATATATAAATAGCTAATGAAGGAATACGTACCAAGAACCATGTGCTACATTTTCGTTCTCAGAATATGAACGTACTTCAATATCTACTCTAAAGTTAGATCTACAACCTATAAAAAGTATATTTAAATACTTGAATTTTTGGTTGTTTCAACTACCTTTTTGGTGTAAGCCAGAGAAAATGTGTTTATAAATCCGAGCCTAATTGATAAGGTAAAAGAGAAAGTTGAGATTATCAAAGAAATAGTATTGGAGGCCTAAAACTGCTAAAAGAATTATGAAAATTTGAAGAATCATCCTATGGCATTTAAAGTAGGTACTCAAGTGTTCCGAAAGATGTTATTTAGAGAAGATTTATTAGTTTTGGGATGAGAAGAAAATTGAACCTGGGATATATTTTACCATTAAATGTTTTTGAAAGGATCGGAGAGCAAGATTGTTTGTTGAGTAGATTACTAAAATCATCCCTATGATTTGGTCAAAATTGCACGTTTGGTCCCTAACATTTTTTTGCACTCGGATCGTCCATTTGGTTTGATTTTGTTGCGTTTTTCGTCCCTTATACACATAAATTAAGGGACCAAATGTGCAATTTTGATCAAACTATAAGGATGAAAAACATAACAAAATCAAAGCACAGAAACGATCTAAGTGCAAAAAAAAGTTAGGGACCAAACGTGGATTTTTGACCAAACCAATGGGACGATTTCAGTAAGTTAGTCTTGTTTGTTTAGAGTTGCCCTACAAACTAAATGAGATCCATAATGTACTTCATGTATGCTATTTACTCAAGTGGTTTGGCTTCGAGGTTTATTTTTTTCATTGGTGGAAGTTACTATAGATGAGAACAAAGGCTTGTAGAAGACCACGAGAACATTGTAGATTCAAAGGTTAAGAAGCTAAGAAAAAATATGACAAACATGATCATTTTGAAGAAGTGGAATCATTGTACAGGACAAATCTGATACGAGAAATGAAAAAAAAAATAAAAAATTAAGAAGCGTTGCCTATAGTTCTTCATGGACTCCGGTGATTCCGATGACAAAATAACCCTAAGTGGCAGGTAACTATAATGCGCTCTATTTTTGAAAATTTTCAGAAAATTATTATTAAAATAATTAAAAAACAATTTAGGTTAAAATTGAACTATTTTTTAATTATTTACTAAATTAAGAAGATTATGACTTTGGATAATATATTTGACCATAACCGGTGAAAAAGGTAACGGCGGACTAACAAATGTCAAAATAACTGCATTTTTGTTAATTGGTCTTAACATGATATAAGGACTAAACAATTAGAAGTTTATAGAAAAATGATGTTTGTTTTAAACATGAGTGTTGACCAAGCTTCTAGGTCAACATGTGGCTTACATTAAAGGATTATTAATCATATATGGGATTTAGTTGTCAAAATACCTAAAGTATAAAAGTAACCATCTCTAGCTATTAGACAGTGTTTGATCGAGCAGAAGAGGGCGAGAGGCTCAATATGGTGATTTACTAAGATGTAAGTCGAGGGTTCATTTAGTTAAGTAGATTTGGATTCGAACTTTCTAAAGACAGTTAAGAATTAATTAAAAAAGGATATCTGTTAAATGACGACCTCAACATAACATGCAAATTTCGGTGCAAGACGTCACCCATGTCAATTAGAAAACTACACACATGGAAATCCCACATGTTTGCATTTATTATTTTTGGTATTCTGAAATATAAAGAAAAAGGGAGTATCCATGTTGCATGCTTTTCTTAAACTGATTTTAAGTGTTTCAACCAACTAACAGACTATCCTTCCTTCTATCCATAGTTTCTACATTTCTATCATTTATTCTTACATATGCAATTTCTATGGTAAGATATTGGAAACTCATAAGTGTAGCGAAACAATTAAGCCTCTATGTATGAATTAACTTTTTTAATTACTTTGAGAATGTGGTAATTTACTTTCCTTAACATGCTAATGTTATATATCAAATAAAACCGAAAGGACGATATATACCAGAATTGGTGAACAAATCCACATCTATGCATCCATATATACGTACAACAATGGTTCGTTACTTGCTTGTCCCATAAGTCTTTTTCTTATAAATATTAATACTATAACCGCCGTAATGCCCATCTTGTAGCACGTGAAAATGAGGCTCGATTCCTGCTTTCTTGCCTTCAGCAAATGTTTTTTTGATTTCTATATTTAGCAAACTTCTTTATCTACGACCCATTATATATAGCATGGTTTCCCAACAGCTTATGCATTCAGACATTCGACCAACGATGGCTTCATTCATCAGAAATTCCCATCTTTCATGGAGCGTTCTTGTGGTTCTATACATGACACTTCTTGTCTCTGTTTGTGAAGCTAGGGTTCACAGGGGTAAAGGAAGCGGCTTTGTTCGAACCAAAGGACCTAACTTTGTTCTCAATGGGTCCCCTTTTCTATTTAATGGTTTTAATGCGTATTGGATGATGAATGTTGCCACTGATCCAAGCGAGAGGATGAAAGTAACTCAAGTCCTACAAGATGCTGCAAATGCAGGTCTTTCTGTATGCCGAACATGGGCTTTTGCTGATGGTGGCGACAAAGCTCTTCAGATTTCACCAGGAGCATACGACGAACGTGTTTTTCAGGTATCAACAAACATGTTTCTTAGCTAGTTTTGATCATGTTTCCTTCATATTGTATGGTGTTCTTACATTAAACGTGGGTTTGGTTTGCAGGGACTAGATTTCGTCGTGGCAGAAGCAAGAAAATATGGTCTTCGGTTAATATTAAGTTTTGTTAACAATTACAAAGACTTTGGAGGGAGACAACAATACGTAGACTGGGCAAGAAGTTCTGGCGTTCAGATCAACGGTGACGACGATTTCTATACCAACCCAATAGTAAAAGGGTATTATAAGAACCATGTCCATGTAAGTCGTTCAACAACATCAATTGTTGACAAAAAGTTGAAGAATCAACATCAATAATGTTTTATTTTTTATATATCGACCTAGCTTGTGTTTTCCTACCGAACTTATATGCATAATTAATGATGACTGCATGCAGAGAGTTATAACAAGGGTGAATACTATCACCAGGATCGCATATTGTGATGACACAACAATCATGGCATGGGAACTCATAAACGAGCCCCGCTGCCAGGCTGATTACTCTGGAAGAACAGTTAATGTAAGTGACTGCATGTAAAGATATAAATTACAAGAATCTTTAAACATTAATATACGATATAAGGATTTGTAATATTTATGAATTCTGACCACAACATACATTTCATTGCAGGTTTGGGTCCAAGAAATGGCTTCATTCGTCAAATCATTGGATAGACACCATCTATTGGAGGTTGGCATGGAAGGGTTTTATGGCGACACAATGCCTGAACGAAAGCAGATAAACCCCGGTTACCAAGTTGGAACTGATTTCATCAGCAATAATCTTGTTAGGGGAATCGATTTTGCCACCATACATGCATATCCTGATCAATGGTAATACTTTCGATAACATTAAACAAGAGCATTCATGATCTATAAATACAAAAAAGCAACTAAAAGAGGGTATTTAACGTAATTAAGTATTCAAATTGTGGTTATGCTACAGGTTGTCTGGACAAAATGAAGAGTCACAAATGGCATTTATGCAAAGATGGATGTGGAGTCATTACCAGGATTCAAAAACTATCCTTAAGAAACCACTTGTGATTGCTGAATTTGGGAAGTCTAGCAAAGATCCAGAATATAACATTAACAAAAGGGACTCGTACTTGAATGCTGTTTATAGAAACATTTATATGATGGCCAGAACTGGAGGAACTGTTGGTGGTGGTTTAGTGTGGCAGCTTATGGCAGATGGAATGGGTTCTTACTGCGATGGATACGAAATAACCCTGTCAGAAAATCCGTCAACAAGCAACATCATTTCTCAGCAATCTCAAGCCATGAGCACGCTAACTCATTTGCTAAGAATTGCATCGGAAAATGTTCCTTCGGGCAAAAATCATAAACTCCAACTTGATCATATTAAAGGTCATTCTTCTAAGACAAACCATCATGGTCATCGTCATCATCAGCATACTCACAACCAAAAGCCAATGCCTTGACAATATGCAGAATTGAAGGAGGGGATTAGAATCTAGCTAGATCCTCTTATATATTACTCAAAGTGTCAATTAATTTCTTGCGGCTTGTCAAATAGCCCGTTATTTATTGATTCAATTAATTTTAATGAAATGCTTCTTTCTCGGAAGAGATAGTTCCACATGCATGGAAAGTCTTTGATCTACGCACTCTCATGTGCATGTAGGTAATTCGAATGAAAACTTTAAATATTCATTAACAAATCATACTTACCGAAACCCTGACTTTTATCATAATGATTTATGGAAACAACATTTAAAAAAAAGGATAATAAAAAAATTGGAGAGCCCACGCATGTGGCTTTGAGTTTTCTATAGAGTCAACCGACAGGTTCAAGCAATTCTACCAATAACCCTGTATATACATCTGGTTCAGGTGGAAAGACCGGTTGTTCAAAAACAGTTAAATTATGTTCAATAAACCGTTAAAGTAGTTCTATAACCAATAAAAAACTAAAGTTTATTTTAAAAATAAGTACATGGCAACTAATAGTTAAATATGATGCTTCATACTATTTAGGTCATTTGAGCTTCCCTTAACATCATCACCAGTTTTATAGAATATTAAGTTATAAACTACGACATTATACACTTGATAAATTAAAATAACGTAGATATATAGTAACAAAAACATATTATGTTGTGTTTTTATATTAAGTGGGCCAAGTTAAAGAAAAAACCAGATAAAAATGATCAAACTAACCAAATTTGGAGAGCCCAAACTATTTAAATTCTTTGAGTTTTCTATAAACTCAATTGTCCATGTTTTAAAAGGAGCACGGCCAGTTTAGTCAGTTGAACTGGTACGGCCATATATAAAATTGGTTTGATCAAGTGGAAAGACCTACTTTAAATGATCTAGCTAAAATCGGCTGACTTTATCAAGAAAGGTAATATATATTCAATAAACCGTTAAAACTAGTTCTATAACCAATAAAAACTTAAATGTATTAAAAAAAATAATTATTTTTGCTGTTTTTTTAAAGAAATAAGAAAACAATGCAACTACTAGTTAAATATGCAACTTTCTAGTAGTGACGTAATACACTCTTCCCTCTAGTAATGACGTAATACACTCTTCCCTTAATATCATCATGAGTTTTATAGAAGATTAGGTTATAAACTCATAAATAATAGGGTTAACAGATTAAAATAATGTAGACTCTAACAAAAACATATTATATAGTTTTTTTTTTTCATATTAACTGGTTGAAGTTGGAAAGGATTTGGCTGAAACATCGTCGCCACTAACTGGAGAATAAACCTGCACGGCATGACACGTGCCATGGAGTGGAGAAACGTTGCCACGGAGTGGCAATCTATCAGGCCTAAGCCCATGATTTTTATGGTTTTCAATGTATATAAGCATAAGATTCCAACTTCTTGACCATTTTATGAGCCTTCGTCATATATAGGACCCCTTAGGAGAACCGTAGCCTTTATCTTCAATATTTTATCGTTTTCAAGTACTTTAGTTTCAAAATGAAGGGCCCAACTTGATCGCACTGCATCTCGTGGAGATTAATTTCGTATTGACGATTTATGATTTTACTCTGATGTTTTTGTTAATACTTTGACTCAGTTCGTCATTTGGAACAACAAATGACTAGTATTGACTTATTTAAAATGAAGTTTTTACACAGTATTTTTGGGATGTTACTAGTTTGTATCAGAGCCTTGGTTTGAAGGGTTCGGGAAGGCTCTCAGGTGTGTCTTTATACTGTCACAGCTCGAAATTTTTGACTAAACCAAGCTTGAACCCTAACATAGCACAAGTGAAAACCCACATCTGTAAGCCTTTTTGCATTGTGTCCTTTATAACATTAGGGCTTGTCTAGAAGGTTAGCAACGAAGTAAGGATTGTAAACCAAGTTAAATTAGGTTGTTATAATTGACCATAAGTTTATTTATACTAGTATAAGTGTATATATTAATGATTAAATCAATAAACCACACCCTAAAAAGGGTTCACGGCCAACAAAACCCACCAAAATAGAGTTCACGACCATAAAGTAGTTGGAATCACTAGTTCACGGTTTGGAAAAAAGATCAACGAGGAGTTTACGGCCAAAGTGAGAAGGAAAAAAGAGTTCACATCCAAACAATGACTGTGAACACCCTCTTAATGGGCTGAAAACCCATTTCTAGGCGAATTGGGAATCGTAAACCCTATGGCCCAATACCATTCCAACCGTAAACACCCCTATATATGTGTTTACACCCTGAATCCATTCATTTCCTCATTTCTCAACCGTGAACCACTTTCAAAATCCTATCAATCTTCATCCGTGAACAACCCATTTCCTTTCATTCTTCAAAGGTTTACGCCAAGAATCTTCAAATCTTCAAACAATTTACAAAGAACATTCATACCCACATTCAAATGCACCTGGAGAAGGGACAACTTTTGTTTCAGAAGAGCTTGGATCTAAATGCACCTGGAGATCAACCAAAAATCACTGTTACTGATCTTGAAGAAAGATGTTTTACAGATACATATGGTGATAGGTCCGGAATTGTTTCTTGGGGATTTATGACACGTTAAACATATGGATTATGAGAAGAAAGAGTGGCGACACTGAATTGTACAAAGACTGTCATGACTTCCATTCATGGACTAGGGTGGATCTTTCAGAGTTATCTCAAGCTCCTTTTGCAAATCCCTCACAAGATCCAAAGGCAATTCACTTCAAGCTCTTCTTGGAAGACCAAGTGAAGAAATGCTTTCCAGCGATGAAAACTGCAGAGTCTATTATCAAGCATTATCCTGATGTGATTGATCCCAAGACTGGTCATCCACTTCAAGTTGTGATGTGGCATGCTACCAGTTAGGTTAAGCATATCCCAATACTTCAAAACTATCCAGATGGATCCTTAAGCTCCATGTTTTATTGGGTATTTGACAAAACAACAGCCTCCGCAGTCATGAAGCTCAAAGATGGATGCATTCATCTATATGACTGGAGATATCTGTTCTAGTTTGGGAAATGGTATATCTATCAACTGAGTCTTCATCAAATTAAAGTTACCGAGGAAATTTTTGAAAAAGCTGCCAAAGAGTATATGTCGATGGTTGCAAATATTATCAACAAGCAAATGTGGAACGGAGCAATGGGGAAGTCAGATGTGTTGGTGCTCACAATAATATAACTTCTCTTATATTACTAACTATACTAATTGAAAACCAACTAAAAAATATTTAAAATATCTTGCTCATTATGGGAAACATTTGAGTTGATTTTGTGACAACCCAAGTTGCCCCGTTACATTTCTTTGTTACCGTTAACGAAATTTTCCAATGTTCAAAAAGTTCCGTTAATAAGAAGCCGTAAAATTTAATAAACATTTCAATTATGTATGTTTATATGCCGTTAATTCGTGATAAAAGGAAATAAAAATACATAACACATATTTCCATTTACTTGGAAAATATTAGTTTATTATCACGACCAGGAAATCGAGGGCGACCAAAAGCCCCGTTTAACGACAGTATCAGGTAAAATCTCACTGAGCCCCGACTCAAAACCCTATGTAAGGGTGAGTGGAGTCCATTGGAGACTCTTTACACTCTCTCTTTATACTCTCTCTCTAGACTTGTTTTAGCCCCGAATCCGCAACCAAAGGTTTCCAAATTGTAAGTCCGCTTACCCTAGCTTATTCTAAACATATTGAATCATGTTTATAGCCCAAAAATCGGACTTAGAAGCTATGAAAAAGGAGTTTACGGCCTAAGAACCTCCTTAGGCCGTAAACACCCAAAATGAGGCCAAAATGACCCAAACTTGTCCTTATAGTCTTGGAAATAAATAGGGGAAATACCCTAGGGGTGTTTAAACACTAAAATGCATGGATTTAGGACTCAAAGAAGAGTTTACGGCCCAAGCACATGCTTAGGCCGTAAACTCCCCAAGTCATGGTCCCAAATGCACTCCAAACTCATCCTAGGGCTTCATACATAATTTAGGAACTTATCCTCTTGAGTTTAGACCCTTGAAACACTCCGAAATGAATTAAAAAAGGGAGTTTACGGCCAGACAAGGGTTAAGGCCGTAAACACCCTTAAGCATGCCCAAAATGTTGGTTTTTGTCCCCAAATGGCCTTAGACTATTTCTATAAAATGCTAGGAAGGATTTAAGGACTTAAACACAACTAATGGAGGGATAAAAAGGAGTTTACGGCCCAAGAAATTGTCTAGGCCATAAACTCCCCAAAACCCACTCAAATGATGGTTTTAATCTTCCAAAATAGCATCATACTTCATTAGAAATCACTAGAAAGGCATTAGGGGCTTTAAACTTTCCAAAACTCTAAGGATTAGAGTTTACGGCCGTAAACTCATAGATCAAGCCCTTAGAGGCCTCAACCCACTCATGCCTTTTATGAAAAGTCCTTAGAAAAATCCCATGAGTAAGCTAGAAGCATTAAACACCCAAGAATATGACCTTGGGAGTTTACGGCCGTAAACTCCCTTGGGTTAGGCCGTAAACTCCAAATTGGTCCATGTTAATGCTTTGACCCCATTCACACACTTGATATTTGATTTTAGCAAAGTTCCACAACTGATAGGAGACCCGTAGCACCCTTAAACGCTACCCGGGACCCCAAACACTTAACCAAAAGTGTTTTCCGCTCCTTTGAGCACGCATATTTGTGTAATTAGCATTAAATATACTAATTGTATGTGAACATATGTTATCATATGTTAAATAGGTCATTGAGTGTGTTCGAGTCCTTACGTGGCACCAAACGCCCAAACAGCACTCTCGTCGGACCTACTTACACCAGGTGAGTTCATACCCTTGAATGAACCTTTTACATGCTTTTAAACGTTTTATAAGGGGGGGAATACAAGTTAAACATGTCAGTTATCATGTCAATCACATGTGATTGATAACCCGCATGCACAAGATTTTACCACTTTACACTGTTTTACCAAGTGGGACACTATAATAATTTTTACTTA